CACACTGGCCCGAGCAACTGGTATGGAACATTTTGACAACAAACGATGTTAAATGCAAAATGTTATATTTGAATTTGATGATTTGAGTGACAATTTCATACTCTATAAAAATGTAAACTCCAATTGAAATGTGAAATAGCATTTTTGTTATGAAAAGTTTTCCACAAAGGCAAGCAAAGACAACATGAGAGAGGCGCACGCGCATCAAACAAAGGGAATTCTGAAAACGTACCCTTCCAACACATGAAGAACTTTTAGACTTGGCCTTTGTTTCAAGATATAGAAGTATAACAGTCACTCCCTAAACAACTAGAGAAAAGTTGCAAACAGTGAAAATAATTCCCAGTACAAGCTCAGATGACATAACTAACCACAACAACAATCATCTTTTCTCTTCTCTATCAAGACTTGTTTTGTGTTCTTAACAAGTGCTATGAAGTTTGAACTCATAATCTCCTCTAATAAAATAGAGACTAAAATGCCACTAGGGTTCTTAGTTATTGGCAATTATAATTTGGAGCTGAAACCATTCTGTTCAAATCAATTACTTTTCTTCAGTCACAAGATTTGAAATTAAATGTCAGAAGGTTGCTTGTTATTGCATATTAAAGAAAGAGAAAAATAAAAATCTTACAGGCAATCCTCCTTCCAACATAAACACCGGTAGGAAGGTTTGCTTATTCTTACACATTAAAGAAATAGACGAAAAAAAACTTACAGGCAATCTCCTTACAACATAGATGTAGGAAGCTGCTTATTATCGTACATTAAAGAAAGATGGAAAAAAAAAAAAAAATTACAACCCTCTAAAACAAGATACATCCATCACCAGGAAAATTAAAAGGGAAAAAAAAGAGGCTGTAATTCTTTTACTATCATGCAGGTTTTCCATCCAGCTTCACTTCCCTGCAAGTCAATTATATAGAGCCTTTAGCAAACTTATAACTGTTAGGCTTAATTTGTATCAAGCAAGCAAAGTGTTATATATACACTAATTAGATGTACCTCCACTTGCGCAGCACCCAGGAAGACGATACCGAGCTGCTCATGATGAGGTTGCTGTTCTGGTAGATGGCTTAATTTCCCTATCAGCAATGCCTTCAATCTTTGGCAAATCACCATCTTCCTTCTCACACTGTGCTATCAGTGAAGGGCAGCTTTGGATAGACAGATGCTGGAGGGAGGTTGGCAGGCCATCCCCTGGCAATGACTGGAGTGCTTGGCAATCTTCGATGTAAAGATCATGGAGGGAGGTAAGATTCTTGAGCACGTCAGGGGCCCCAAATGACTCGAGGCTCGTGCATGAGCTAATGATCAAAACTTGAAGAGAGGTTGGGAGCCCTTCAACTGGCAGTGTCACAAGCTTAGGACACTTCTGGATGGAGAGAAGTTGAAGAGAGGTGAAGCCGTTGAACAATGTCCTGTTTTCTTGGTTGGTTAGATACTCAAGATCTCCACAATTACTGATGTACAGCGCTTTGAGTCCTGGGAGACTAGGCCATTTTGGAAGGCAGATGAAATTTGAGATGTTTGAAACCGCCAAGGAGTATAAACTCCCGGTGCCAGGTATCATACTCACTAGTGTTTCATCAGGACAAGCATCCAATGCTAAAACCTGAAGCCTCCCCGAGCAGCGTTGGTCAGGGAGTGATCTCAACGACATGCATCCACTTAATTCCAGTTTCTGTGGGCAGACGTTTCTTGGCAGCGAACGCAGCTCGGGGCAGTGGATAATATTCACTTCCAACAAGCGAGAGGCAGAGAAATTTAGGTATCTAGTTACCCATTGGACAACAGAAACTAGTGTTACTTCCGGCCAGTGCTTCAGCACAGGATTGTCAACAAGTTTTACGACCATTGCTCCGCTGAATGGAACGGTCTCCAGTGATGCGCACTTTTTGAGCAGCTCGGGGCAGTGGATAATATTCACTTCCAACAAGCGAGAGGCAGAGAAATTTAGGTGTCTAGTTACCCCTTGGACAACAGAAACTAGTGTTACTTCCGGCCAGTGCTTCAGCACAGGATTGTCAACAAGTTTTACGAACATTGCTCTGCTGAATGGAACGGTCTCCAGTGATGCGCACTTTTTGATCTTCAGAACACGCAGATTTAGGCGAGGCATTTTCATCAGCTTTGGGCAGTTGGTTATCTTTAACGTTGAGAGCGATTTGTGCGTCTCTCCTTGCCATTCCTCCAACTCTAGCATATTTTTGAGACGGAGTTCTTCAAGGTTGTGCAGCTCTCCAAGAGAGAGGGTTTTGATTCCTGAGCAACCATTCAAAAAAATGTTTACCAAGTTTCGAAGCTGTCCATATTTCATCCAATTTGGAAATGGAGGGAGGTTGGCAGGCCATCCCCTGGCAATGACTGGAGTGCTTGGCAATCTTCGATGTAAAGATCATGGAGGGAGGTAAGATTCTTGAGCACGTCAGGGGCCCCAAATGACTCGAGGCTCGCGCATGAGCTAATGATCAAAACTTGAAGAGAGGTTGGGAGCCCTTCAACTGGCAGTGTCACAAGCTTAGGACACTTCTGGATGGAGAGAAGTTGAAGAGAGGTGAAGCCGTTGAACAATGTCCTGTTTTCTTGGTTGGTTAGATACTCAAGATCTCCACAATTACTGATGTACAGCGCTTTGAGTCCTGGGAGACTAGGCCATTTTGGAAGGCAGATGAAATTTGAGATGTTTGAAACCGCCAAGGAGTATAAACTCCCGGTGCCAGGTATCATACTCACTAGTGTTTCATCAGGACAAGCATCCAATGCTAAAACCTGAAGCCTCCCCGAGCAGCTTTGGTCAGGGAGTGATCTCAACGACATGCATCCACTTAATTCCAGTTTCTGTGGGCAGACATTTCTTGGCAGCGAACGCAGCTCGGGGCAGTGGATAATATTCACTTCCAACAAGCGAGAGGCAGAGAAATTTAGGTGTCTAGTTACCCCTTGGACAACAGAAACTAGTGTTACTTCCGGCCAGTGCTTCAGCACAGGATTGTCAACAAGTTTTACGAACATTGCTCTGCTGAATGGAACGGTCTCCAGTGATGCGCACTTTTTTAGAACACGCAGATTTAGAAAGGGGCGAGGCATTTTCATCAGCTTTGGGCAGTTGCTTATCTTTAACGTTGAGAGCGATTCGAACACCTCTCCTTGCCATTCCTCCAACTCCAGCATATTTTTGAGACGGAGTTCTACAAGGTTGTGCAGCTCTCCAAGAGTGAGGATTTTGATTCTTGTGCAACCATTCAAAGAAATATTAACCAAATTCCGAAGCTGTCCATGTTTCATCCAATTTGGAAAGTCAGTGCCCCTGTAGTGACATATTTGGAGCTCTTTGAGCCTTGAGTAAGGTTGCAGGTCTTCGAGCACCTGCTTAGCAGCGGCTTCATCTTGCAAATTAACATCAGATGTGTTGCTGCTCCATTCATATACTACTTTCTGAATCATTTCTTTTCCTTTCAAGTTAGCCTCCACTGCGGTGCCCCTGTAGTGACAGATTTGGAGCTCTTTGACCCTTGAGTAAGGTTGCAGGTCTTCGAGTACCTGCTTAGCAGCGGCTTCATCTTGCAAATTAACAACAGATGTGTTGCTGCTCCATTCATATACTACTTTTTGAATCATTTCTTTTCCTTTCAAGTTAGCCTCCACTGCATTCTCTGAATTTTCCAGCTTTGAGATGTGCAGTGTTCCTGTAAGGTATTCCATTTTCTTCAATTCTTCAAGTTTGTATCCAGTATCCCTGCCAACCTGAAATTGTTTTATGGGGGTTAGATGGAAGCATAAGGAGCAACAACAAAAGAAGAGAAATGAAAAGGGAAAGCCAACCTGAAATTTGTGTAAATTGTGCAAACTGGTTAGACACCCCATGCCTTGTGGAAATGCGGATGCCTTGTACCAGAACATTTCATCCAGCTCCAGATGCCTCAACTTGACAAGATTTTTGAGCTTCTTTGGCAAACTGAGAAGCCAAGGGCAGCCCAAAAGTTTCAATGTCTCCAAATTGTAGAGCTTGCATACAGATTCTGGAAGCTTTTTTATTTCAGTTTTTGATAAATCAAGGTAGTGCAAAAGCTTCAACTTTTCAATTGAATCTGGCAGCTTGAGAAGCGTGCTTGAACTCAAGTCTAGCACACGCATATACGTAAGTGAATCGAATATCTCATATTGCGCTTTCCCAAAGGTTCTCAAGTGCTGAACAGGAAATAAAAGTGTGCGCAGCTTGTTCGATCTGCTGATGATCTCTATAGTAGGCTGCTCAACATCTTTTGAAAGAAGTGATACATGACGAGATTTTTCATCACCTCTTGACTTTAAACTTTTCGTATCTGTCACTTGGCAACAAAAAGGACTGGAAACTGTTTGTGCAAAGTCATGGATAAGATCATGCATCTTATATTTTCCATCATCTTTGCCTTGGGTTAAGCTTTCAAAGAAGAACCTGTCTGACAGCTCCTTGAAGTATGCTCTTCCTATGTCTTCTGTCCTCTGTCTGTTATGAGGTCGAATAAATGCTTCTGACATCCACAATTTAACCAATTCATTCTTTTCATAAACATGAGCTTTCGGAAACAGGGAACAGTACGCAAAGCACTGCTTGTGATCAGGCGAAGGCAGATGGTTATAACTCAATCTAAGAACTGGCCGTATCTTATCCTCTTTTACTTCCAATGCTTCACTTCTCATGATATGTTTCCACTCATCCACAGTTTTCCCACGTAGCAGACCTCCCATTTGTTTTACTGCCAAAGGCAAACCACTGCATTTTCTTACAATTTCTTTTCCATATACGTTTAACTCTTCAACATCACTATGTGCAAAACTACCCTCTTTAAATGCAATCTCTGCGAACAATGACCACGATTCATTATCATCCAAACATTGCAAATAATAAGGGGCTTTTGAACCCTTAATATTTGCAACATCTGAAATCCGACTAGTCACCAGAACCTTACTTCCCCTGCCCCCTAGATTTAAGACATCCAATAGTGGCTGCAATTCCACATGATTATAATTCCATAAATCATCTAGGACAAGTATAAAGCATTTTCGGGTCAGGATGTCTTGAACACGGGTTTGTAGTTGGGCGTAGGAGAGGTTGTTGACATCATGGCCAATATTTTTTTCAGACATGTGAGAAACCACTATTTCTCTGAAAATGCTCTTCATGTCAAAGTTGTTTGTTACACAAACCCAAGTTTTAATCTCAAAATAATTTTCAACCTTTTCATCTTGATAGATAAGTTGGGCAAGAGTTGTTTTACCTAATCCTCCCATCCCTACAATGGGAACAAAAGAAAGATTGCCCCCATCACTGGCTTCTTCATCTGGTATTAGCAGTTCTATAATCTTTTTTTTATCCTCTTCCCTGCTAACAACTAGATTGTTTGAAAGAGAACCAGTTTGTTGTGGTTGTAAACTACTTTGACTTCTAGACGTAGGGTTCCCAATGATGGTTTTATAGCACTGTCCATTTTGTAAAAGCTCACTTATTTCTGCTTTAATTTCTCTCAACTTGCGCAATTGGCGCTGCTGAAATAAAAAGTTGGAAGTGTTGAATGGGAGACGGAGTTTTCGTACCTGCTTCTTCATCTTCCACTGGTGATATTCTGTTGCCCAACAGTCGATCAAATCCTCTGCATCATAAGCTACAGCTTGAAGCTTTACGAGCCAATTTTTCATGTCGGGAGAATTAGAAGAAATGAGTTGAGTAATCAACTGTTGAATGTCTGTTAACGTGCTCTCTAGCTTTTTTATGTCATCCTTGACATGAATGAATGCAAAAAATTCCGCTGTAGCAAGAGAAGACAATTTGTCCAGTGCAATGCTCACTACGGGACTTACAAGGGTTGTGATAACTGCTTCAGCCATGTTGCTTGCTAGCTTGCTATTTGCTTCCAAAGTAGAAAACCCAGAGCAACAAATGGAAGAGAAAGATGATTGAAGGAAAGGAAACAATAAGCTAGTATGGCCTAAGGCCTGAAGAGCATCCCAGGCTGCCTTCCATTATTGAATGAAAGAGAGGTAGAGCAAAGATGGCCTGCAGGCTGCTTTAATTCTATATGCGTGTTTGTGTGCTTATTTATAGAGGAAATCATCAGGAGGGATTTCGTTCTACTTCTTGACACAGCTCTAGGGTCAGGGTCAAGTTCCATTTTTTTTTTCGTTGTAAAAAAAAACAAAATTATAAGTTTCAATTCAACCATCTAACATTTGACTCCTAATGTTGAATAGGAATCATATAGTTCTTAGTCTTCTAGGATACCCATTAAAATATCTGTGAAACTGTAGTTTTTAGAAAAGTAGATGAACGTTCTCCAATTATTGAAGTACATTGCAAGGTGGTCGAGAATCTTGTTGGGCATCCTCTTTGTAGGGTATAGATCAGCTTATCCCAATGGTTAAACTATCATGAATTAGTAGAAAACTGTACATCTGTTATGTCCGAGTCCCAAAATTAAAACTTGTTTAAATCCCCACACTATCATTTTATTTAAAATATATACTTTAAACACTACCTACAAATTAAGTCCACCCCAAATAATACTCCACTTCAACCTATTGCAAACAAAGAACAAAATTTGTATGCCACGGATTTTCTAGAAACATCAAACATTGCATTCATTGCTCATTGAATGAGTCAATTTTTTGAACCATATAGAAAAGTATATATCCCAATTTCAAAAAAATTGACTCATGTACCTTAAACCAACTACCACCAAGGACTTGCTTGGTTTATTGGTGGATGACTTACTTGGTCTTGCTAGGCCTCGCCTGATGTCCGGTGTTTAGTTGTTGTTTTCTGGGGTTCCCCTTTGTTTCACCCAAAAAAACACTACCAAGGACTTAAACCAACTAGAGACCAAAAAAATAAAGTCCTAGGTATTGAGTAAGTTATACCCAAGATCTAAAATATTGATGGTTTGGAAATATCGGTAGTCTAAAAACACGAAAATTTCAATGGAATTATTGGGAAATTATCAATATCGATAAAAATTGAATAAAAACCACAGAAATTGTAAGAAAAACTTGAAAAAATTTCTTGAAACTTTGGAGGATGTTTATTTAGTCAATTATCTATTACTTTATCACAAAAAAATTGGAAGGAAATGCATTGCATGATGGGTTTAACTCATTTAAGTTGATTATATAGCGAGCTAACAAAGACTTGCGAGTGTAGAAAATATGTAGTAATTAATGAAAGAAGATTAAACACACCATAATCATTTATTTATAATGATTTACTACAATATTTTACACTTTATACATTGCATGGTAATATACATGAATGACTTAGTACCACATAGAGTTCCTATATGATTCAAGTTTGAGTTATTTCCACTAACACTCCTTGAGGTTTTCGGCTTTTTTACAAAACTCCTTAAGATTTTAAAATTTACAAGAACACCCCCTGAGGTTTTAAATTGTTTTCACAAAACTCATTTTCATTGATTTTTCATCCAAAGATTGATGATTTTATACCTAAAAAAAAAATTCACAAATGACAAAGCTGGCCTTTGAGATTAGATTGCAATACTTCATTGAGATTAATTTTGTCATTTGCATAAGTTTTTTTTAAAATGAAGTCATCAATTTGTGAAAACAAACTGAAATCTCAGGGGGTGTTTGTGTAATTTTTGAGACATGAGGGAAGGTTTTGTAAAAACACAAGAAACCTCAGGGGATGTTAGTGTAAATAACTCTTCAAATTTTTCATTGTCTTCATCATCTCGATATTATAGCGATATTTTGGTCAAATGTTGCTGAAGTGTGAGAAATTATTGACGTCAATATTTTCCGATATTATCGATACTTATACAATATATGTATGAATATATTCCAAAATATCTTAGACCCAAAAAAACAAACTCGATATTATCAAATATTTTAGTCCTTGGTTATACCAACTACCCATCATCATATTAATCATTACGTTACACAAACTTGTGTCTCGTCTCTACTTTGGTTTTGGTCCTTCTGGAATTTTAAAACTCACTTGAATTGAAAAGGTCTCAGGCCTAGTTTGGGATTGCTGATTAACAAGAGAAATATCAATAAACTAAGGCGCAGTTTGGTATTGCTGTCACTTTTAAAAAAAGTTGCTTTTGCTGTGCTTTGAAAATAATTAGCTGTAAAGTAAAGCAACTCTATATTTGGTAAACAATATTTTTAAGTGTTGTTAGTACAAAAAACAGTGTCAAAACCGTTTGGAAAATTTTAATATAAAACTGTTGTAACTGTGAATAATGACTAAAATGGACATGATGTTGAAAGTGTTATGTGCTAATCATGTGATGGTAATGGTGGTGGTGGAGTGGAGGTGGTGGTGAAAGAGATAGAGGTGAATGTGGTGGTGGTGATGAAGGTGGAGTTGGTGGTTGTGGTAGTGGTGGTGGTGGGGATGGCGGTTGTGGAGGTGGCAGTGGCAACGTGGTGGTGAGGTGGTGGAGTTGGATGTGGAAGTGGAGGTGGTGTTATTTTTTAAAATGAATGATGGTATTTTGGAAATTAAAAAAATTCATTAAATGTTCATCTCTGCTTCTTTTGAAAGCAGCTTTGAAAAGCAACCCAAAGTCTGCTTTTAAAAGCTTCTGTCAAAATGACATTGCTTTTAAAATAATCGGGATATTTTCTTTTTACCAAACACCTTAAACTGCTTAACTTTAAAGTGAAGCAGGTTTTTGGCGAAAAAAAGCAATCCCAAACGGGGCTTCAATTTGGTGGAGCCTAGTTAATTCGACATAGTCAACATGAATATGCCAACTTGGTACCAGAATATAAAATTTGAAAAGTTAATGATAATGCCGATTCTCAAATTTATACAAGTCATCCGATCCAGACCTCACACCAACCATTGTTGAATGAGGATACCATCAAGTTTCTTCGACGGAATTCTGACGCGAAGGGCAAGTGTAAGGGTAAATTGGACCTTCTAGATTTTACTCTTGTAGCTTCCTGAAAGGTTCAAATTTGAGAACTGTTTGATATCGTCAAGTTTTTTTTTACGGAATTATCACGTGAAGGGCATGTGTAAGTGTAAATTCGACTTATGGCACGTTTTTACTTATAAATAATGAGAATTAGAAGAAAGTGAATAATTTCCATTCATGACTTTTCGTTTGTTTACTTACACACAAGGAATCATTTAATACATGTCTCTCACCTAAAAAATGATTCATCAAATAGGAATCAGATTATTTAACCTATCTCATTTCTTCTTATTCCTATTACTTAAAAGTAAGCATGCCAGGTGTAAGCACCTCACGTGCTAATTCCGTTGAACGGTAATTGTTACCCTGGAATTGGATTAATAAGTTTACTATGAAAAAGTGAAAAACTATAGTATTAAAGTAAGGTAAAACTTGACCCAAACTATGGGGACGAAAATGACTATTTGGCCTTTATAAAAACTATATGAAACTCAGTTCCTTCCAATTCCAAACTGGTTGGTTGTAAAAGTTTTAGAGAAGCCGAGCAGGTGAGGTCAGTTCTTCCCTCTCTCTGACACTGGTGAAACAATTTGATCATGACGGATTCGGCGAAAGGCGAATTCCAGGAGTTCAAGAAAGTGGTGAGCCTAATTATTTATTACTAGACAATTGCAAGGTGCTTATCTTTTAACTTGTTTTCCCCATTCTTTTAATCATTGTGCATGCAGAAAGTATGGGTTGAGAAGAAATCTAGATGCATGACGTTGTACGCAAGATGGTTAGATGTCACTTGGGGTTTCCCTCCATACTGGGTTTGGAATTGTTACAAAGAAATGAGGTACGTGTTCGCACCACTTTGCAAAACCCAAGGGAGGTGTCGTATAGTAGTGTAGCTCGAAAGTCCGAGTGTCGTATCCACAGAGAGCAGTGTAAAGAAAATAACAGAGATGAAAAAGAACAAGTGTGATTGAGAGGTTGATTTATGCAAGATTTTATTTAAAGAAAATTTAATTGATTAAAACACTAAGGCATTGGGTTTCCACTTTTAACATAAGCATGCAACTCTTAATAATTTGATCCACAAAATATTTTCCTTTGTAGTTGTTCAAAATAATTAAAGCTCTTTTTAATTTCCTTTAGAAGTATTCTAAGCATAACTTGTACCATTGGCAACAAACTATCAAAAAAATAATCTTCATCAAAATTCTATTAATCTTTAGTAATTCTCTTCTCTTTTAAAAGCATGAAAGTTTTTACTACACAATGGGAAAAACATGATTGAACCCATGAAATAGATTATCAAACATTCATCAATTAATTAAAAAGAAAACTACAAATTCCATTTGAACAAAAACTACAAATTCACATTAAAGCTTAAGTTTGGATCAAACTAATAAAAATTACACACTTATATTAAAAGCTTTCTCCCTAGCCTTAGCTAGGGAGTTAGTTCCCCATAAAATAAAACTAAAAAAAACAGAAATTAAAACTTAGAAAGATGGAGGGAAGAGAGAAAGCTCAAGAGTTGTGGAGCTTGGTGTGTTTTTACAATGCCATAGCTCCTCCTATTTATAGGAAAATGGGAGCAATTCTAAATTCATTAAATCCCTCCATTCATGAATTCAATATGTATTCCACTTGCATCAAACCAATTGCCAATTTGCTTCCATTACTTATTCCATAGTGTTGATGAATCCATTCTCCAAATTCTTCATCTTCTTCAATGCACAACCGTAACCC